CGCTGCTGGGTCCAGTCCCTCGCCATCCTCTCGCCTCACAGGCACGGACCCCTGCTGCTCACCCCGACCGGCAAGGCTACTCCGTGCTGAGACACACACCCCAAAATCGCCTTGAGTCAAATTACTGGGCTCATCTCACCAGCTGCTATTTCCTTCTGTCCCCAAGCCAAGCGAGGAGCTTGTGAAAAACAAGGAACTGTCAGTCCAGGGTGCCCTGAGTCAGAGCGCCGCGGGGCTGGGATCACGGGGCTGCTCCTGCCGGGGCTCAGCAGTGTCCCCACCAGCAGGGACACCCCGCCCCGGCCGCTGCTGCCAAAGGCGGCCAAGCTCTCCTCTGATCACTCCCCCTGGGCAGCCTTCCCACCGGACACTGCTGCCTGGCCCAAAGCCGGTTTGCAGCCCTGTTTTTCAAAGTTGTTTTGGTGTCTCCTGGCAGAAAGCTGCTGGTGACCCAAATTCTAAATATAGAAGCAAGTCCCTTTTTTTTATGCGACAAATGCAAAACCTCTGTCCTACGTTCATCCTTGGGAAATAGGTCTTTTTGTCAGAGAAGTGCAAATGCAACACCCAGATTTCTTTCCAGTGAGGTCACCTCCTTGCTGTGGTCGTTCCCAGAGGGCACTCACAATATTTGTTCTAGGTAAACTCCTCCACGCTGCTTCACTGCTGGAAAGCCACACTCAGAGCCTCAGGCAAATCCCAGGCTCTTCATGGACCCTCCTCATCTCAGGTGCTGGGCAGTTTCTCTGGGATGGAAGTCCACATGAGGCCAGCCTGCTGCCCTCTCCCGTGGCAGAGCAGCTGGGGAACCAAGCCCTGTCTCTTCCCCTCACCCACGGGTGCTACATGGGCTGTGGGTATCTCCTGTGGCACAGGAGGTTTCATGGGGCTGGAGGAAGGTGGTTGCCCCATAGATATGCTCATCAACCTTGCCCAAGTTAGTGTCTCTCACCCAGGCCAGGCAGCACAGAGCAGCTCCTCCCCTCTGCAGAGCACATCCCTGTCCCACAGGCATCTCGGGACAGAACTGTCCCCAGCCCTGCAAGAACCACAGGTTCCCTGAGTGCCTCACAGCTCTTCTCCAGTGCAGGCCAGGGGCTGGGCAGAGGTCTCAGTGCCCACGGGGGCCTGGGAGCCAATGCAAAGCCCTGTGCTGGGAGCACTGGGGTGCTGGGAGCACTGGGGTGCTGGGAGCACTGGGGTCCTGGCCACCAGACAGCAAGTGACCAAAGCTGGTAACAGCCCCCATTTACCACTCACCTGAGCCACACCACATCCACACTGCCCTGCCCCTGGCAGGGGCTGAACTGAGCCCTTCAGCTGGGTGTGTGTCTGGCCAGCCAGCATCCCTTTGGGAAGAGGGAGGAGACACTTCTGTGGAGTCCTGTGGAGCTGGGATGGAGACCACCTGAACCAGACAGGTCTCAGGATTTCTGGGAGGGACAAGGCAGTGGGGGAGAAGCCACGCTGAGCCTGTGCCTCATGGACCTTACTCTGGCCACCAAAGCCCAGCAAGACACTGGGGTTCCTCAGGGACTGGTGGTCTTTCCCAGTTTAAGTAAGGAGCATGCCTCTTGTCCCCAGTGCCACCACTCAAGGGACCAGAGGTGCTCCCAAGGAGATTGATGAGGATTTTTCATGATGTGAAAGAGTGCATGTTGCATTTTCTGGATCTACAATATAGACAAACAACTTCAGGCAGGAGCTTCCAGGAAAATCTATCCCAAGGGACAAGCAGCATGGGAACAGCCACCTGAGGAGCTGAGGTGTGGCACATACAGGCACCAGGGGTGTGCGTGGGTGATTGGTGGCACCTCCCAGTCTGTTTCAATGGGGCTGGGTGGGTGTCTGGGCATATCCCTGGGGCCCTGGAGAGGGTGGCCCAAGGGCTCTCAGCAGGATGGGGTGGGACAGGGTGGCTTGGGGAAGGAGAATGAGCAGCTTCTGCTCATTCATAAGACCCTGAGATTAGCTCAGTTGGGTCAGAGCATGGCACCAATGACACTGTATGGGCCATTCACTTCAGAGCTGGACTCCATGATCCTCTTGGGTCCCTTCCAGCTCAGTATATTCCGTGATTAATTTCCCTCTTTTCTGCTGTTTGGCACAGAGCCTCTGTTGAAGGATTGTCTCTGTACACTGTCTGTGTATTCTTCATTAAGTGCTCTTCCCAGCCCCAGCTAACGAGCACCCAGCTCACGGTGGGGCAGCAAGCCCTGTGGCACACTCACATTGTGGCCTTGGGGCCCCTGGGAGCTGCCAGGACTGAGCCAGCTGCTGACCCACAGCCCCAGGACATGGCTGGGAAATGCTTCTTCAGGTGCTCAGCAGTTACCCGGTGACTTCAGCATCACCAGGAGGAATGCTGGGCCAGAGCTCTCTGGGCTCTGGGAACACTCATGTCAGGGATGCCAGGAGCAGCACTTGCTTGGGATGCAGCAAGGGCACCCCAGGGAAACCAGAGGGGGCAGCTGGGCCTGGAGGGGTGCCCTGGGACCCCCTTCTCAGTCAATGCCAAATGCTGCAGACATGTTCTTGAGGGATTTCCAAAGATCCAAACATAACTATTATTTCCCTGATCTCTTATTGTTTTAGAAGTTTTGGGTAGCTGGACAAAGCTTTTAAAAATTTTATTTATTTATTTATTTATTTATTTAATAAAGGACAGGTAAATGGGGCTTGGAGCTAGGTGATCCTTAAGGGCCCTTGCAACTCAAACCATTCTGTAATGAGCATCCTGCCTGCTTTGCATGCCATTTGCTGAGTGAAATGAAGGCGTGCATTACACACTGGCCCTGCACCTTGCCAGAGGCTCTCAGTGCTGCTCTCAAAACCTCCTGGATGAAGCAGAAGCCAGTGTGATCACCTTCCTATTTTCAGCAGTCACCCAAGTTCCCAGGGTGCCTCCAGTTACGCTCCTGAGCAGCAGAGCCCGAGGCAGCTGCTGGGGTGGGCTGTGCTGTGACACACAGGCCCCACTTAACTCCCCATTCCCTGCGGGCAGGTGAGGTGCAGTCAGCTGCTTGCTCATCCTCTGCAGCCACAGCCACCTCAGGCCTTGCAGCTCAACTCAGCGTGACTTTGTGACTTTCACAGCGACCTGAGGCCAGAGCCATGCAGGAGTCAAAGCCAGGTCATGCCCTGTGTCCCCCCATCCTACCTCAGGATGCCACAGGGAAGGCACTCTGGTTTCTTTTCCCTTACTCAGTGTCCCTGGGGACACAGCGGGGGTCCCTCCAGTCTCTCCTTGCTGTGCACAGACAGAAGACACAGTGACATGGACCCCAGCTCAGCACTGCAGGATTGTAGGCACACAAGGGCTGGGCCACCACAGCTTCTCACCCACTGTTCCCTGTGCCAGCAAGATTAAAGTCACCTCCTACTGTCACACAGCACAGCTGTCACCCACCCCAGAGCCCCTGGCCACAACCCTGGCCAGGCACAGCAGGGCCTGGCAGCCACTGCTGCTGGCCTCAGGCTGGTGAGAAGCTCCTTCCTCTGCTCACCATCTGTGCTTTTCCAGCAGTGAATCGCCGGGGCTCCATGCTGGGAGGGGACTGCCACCTGCTTTTGGCAGCAGGAGACCAGGGCAGGGTGCAGCAGAGACTGAAGCATTTCCCATCCCTGTAGGAATGGAGAGAGGGGCATCCCATTTACCCCTGTGCTTTAGGGCATATGCCAGCACAAAGGGGCAGTTTACCTGGGAACGTTTCACCCTCACGAGATTCATTCTGCTGCATTTATTTATGCCCTCCTCTGCGGCAGCAGGATTAAAGGCTAATTTCTGCACTCCTGCTGCAGCCAGCAGGAGCCATCCTGTAATCACTCCATGTGAAACCAGGACAAGCAGCAGCAGCAAAATGAACCTCCATGGGCAGCAGGAGCCCTCGGCTTCAGGCAGGGGCCGGGCTGGGGGTCAAGTGTGGTGATGCTGTAACTTCTGTGTGTCTTCTGCAGATCATCCCCCTCTATGCCCAGCAACTTTGGCTCCTTGGGCATTCACTGAAACTGCCATGGCCAGCTCAAAATTCCCCCCATGGACATCCCAGATGAGTGGATTTTCTGCTTAGGACTGTTTCAAGCTTCACAGGCTTCTGCTCCCCTCCTGGCAAAGTGGGGTGGGAGCTCTGCAGGGTGGCAGCTCTGCTCCTAAAATGGTTTACACTCTTCTGCAAGATCCTTCAATTACAGAAGACTAAATGTTATTTAATTTGTGACCTCGTGTTGAATAAGACACAATTAAATTCTACCTCTTGTGAATTTACAATGGGGAATTCTCACCTGTGATGCCAGATGAGTCCTAACTGTTCCATGCATGACTCAGACACCCAAACGGCTCCATTAATGACTGTTTTAATAAATGTTCTATCTTTACACAGACAATATCCTGCCCTGTGACAAGCCTGGCACGAGGTCACACCAAACCGTGGTCCCACGGCCAGCCCATGCTGAGGACGAAGGCAAACCCGGTAATGCCAAGCATCCTGAGGGGCTGCGACCCTGCAGGGACGATCCTGGTGTCGTTCTTCAGGAAGGCCCGGGTCCCCGCGCAGGTGGGTGGTGGCTGGGCGGCACACCCGGGGGTTCGGGCGCAGGGCCCCGTTCCCAGCAGCGAGAAGGCAGCGGGTGTCTGGGAAGCCTCAAGGCTCCGTCCCTTCCCTCGGCAGCGCCAGCATCCCCCGCGCCCTTCCTGTCCCCCCCGCGCCCTCGGGCGCTGCGGGCGGGACCGCACTCTTATCGCTTTTTTTTGTCCAGTGGCTTCAGCTCTTAATTTCCGTCCATCTCCCTCCTCCCGTTCCCGTTGTATCTCGGTGCCGGAGCTCCCTTCTCCCCCCGCACCTCCGGGGTCTCAGCTGTTCCCTTCTACCCCAACTCTCCGGCGCTCTCCATCCTTTTCCTTTCCCCCGGGAGTCCCCAGCCCCTCGCCGCGCGGCCCGGAGGAGCCGAACCGGACCGGACCGAACCGAACCGGGCCCCGCCCCGGGGCGGGCCCCGCCCTCCCTGCGCGCGCTCCCATTGGCTGCGGCGGCGCGGGGCGGGCCCGCTTTGTGACGTCACGATCAGCTGTCGGAAGGTGCCGATTTGTGCGGGGGAGCGGCGCGCGCTCGGCAGAACCGCGGGGTCCGCACCGGCACCGGCACCGATACAGATACACGTACCGATACAGCTACAGCATCTGCACCGGCACCGGCACCGCCCCGGCACCCGCACTACCTCAGCGCCCTCCGCCGCCCGGGACACGCAGGGCCGGTGAGTGCCCGCGGGACGCGGTCGGGGCGCACCGGGCCGGGCTGGGGGCTCCGCGGGCCCGGGCGGGAGCGGCGGCGGGGGAGGCCCGGGACCCCTCGGCTCGGCCCCCCCGCGCCTGTTGTTTGTTTCTTCTGCACCGGATTAAGATTGGCGGCCGTTCCCCGCTGCCATTGGCCGCGCGGCGGTGACGCTGCCTCATTTGCATTTGACATTGAGACGTCACGGCGCTCCCTGTCCCGCCGTGACCCCGGGCGGCGGCGGGGCCGCTCGCGGGACGGGCCCGCGGTCACGCGTGGGTGCCCCCCTGCCCCCCCGCTGCTGGGGCTTTTCTCAGCAGGGAACGTGGATGCCTCTCCCCCCGTGGTGCTTAGACGCACTTCGGGTGCGAAACGTGGCGATGTGGGAAAGGAATGTAGGTGTATAAATACAAGTATGTGTCAATATATTAAATATGTCATAGAATCGCAGAATGAGTCGGTTTGGGTGTGACCTTAAAAATCATCTCGTTCCAACCCCCTGCGGGGGGATGTCCTGGTAGGGACACCTTCCTATTCTGTGTGTTACACACTGTATAAAGTGCAGCATGTATAGTATACTATATGAAATAATTTTGTGTAAAGAATGTAAATAGATGTGAATTGCTAACACAAAGTATTATCTGTTTAACTTATTTCCAGAAAATCCTTGGTGCTTTGGATGTAGATCCCTCTGTCTTTAGATCTCGATTGTGTTTGTAAATCCCACCAGGTTTTATGAGATTGAGATGTATGCTTTGATGTTTTGTTGAGTTTAGTTGTGCTGCCCAGGCAGGGCTGTGTGTGGAGGGGGAGGGTGGTGGCAGTGCTCGGCTGAGGTTTCTGCCATGGGGCAGCTCTACCACATCCCAGGAGGGAGTCCCTCAGCTGCCAAACTCAGCATCTCCCTCTGCTATCATCGCTGCTCCAAGGGCACCTCCTTTGGGACAGCTCAGAAAAGTCATTAGTCCTAACAAGGCAACTTTCCTCTGGATTTCATGTCTCACCTCAGCTTGGTTGAGCCTGGCAGGCCCTGGAAACTCATCCTGCTCCCATCTGGGGGGAAAACTTGGACTTTGTGGAGTGTAAAAACGGGTTGCAAAGGGAATTTTTGCTCTTGTAATTCTTTTATGCACATACATATACATACTTGTGTAGGGGAGCTACAGCCCTGCTCAGAGCATGTGAGCAAAGAGACTGGCATCCCAAAATAGTGGATTAAACTTCCCTCGAGCCCAGCAATAGCCAGTGCTGAAGCAGCACCAACGAGGGCTGGGCTGGGCAGGTGCCAAGTGCTGTTGCTTGTTCTGCCAAGGTTTTGCTGGGGTAGGAAACAATCCCAGAAACCCTCCCAGAAACAGGTGTTGGGCTCTGGCACAGGACTGTGCTGGACCTCCTTTCCCACCAGGTTTAATCTACAGAGTGCCAAGAACTGTGTTGTTTTGCTCTAAAATAAACCTTTCCTCTCCTTTTATATTTCCTCCCCCCAAAATACTCCCCTTCCCCCCTCAAACAACAAACCTACCACAAAAAAAGACAAGAGCTGTGTGCTGTAGCTCACTGTCAGAAACCCACTGCATCAAACTGCTGCTTATCTGGGTGAACAAAAAAGGAAAAAATAGAAAAGTTTTTCCCCAGGTAACAAAATGGTAACACCTGCTTGTAATTAGACTGGAAAACCCTCTGACACAAACTTGTATTTGAGGGGTTTTTAATGCACAGCGAGTCCTGCCCTGCTGAGGGGGGCCCTGAGTGGCCTTGGGGGGAGCTGCTGGGGAGCTCGGGGTTCTTGTGGTGTCACAGGCCAGGGTCCCAGGAACTGTTCAGCCTCTGTGATTTGTGGAGGCTGTAAGGCTGGGCTGCTCCCCTCCCTCCCAGTGTGCAGCTCCTCAGGATGCTTCACTCCTTGGGATGCTTCACCCAGTGCATCCCAGAGAGGAAAGTTCTAAAATTTCATAGCACAGCTCATGGCAAATCTAAAATTTCCAAGATGCTGCCAGCCCCTGGCAGCTTTGCCAGGACTGTGTGTGATGATATCAAGCAGCACGAGGTCACATTTGCCCTTGGGGTAAGGACCTTCCTGCAGCAGTGACAGAAAAGCTGCTGTGGGTGCAGAGACCAGCTCTGGGAAAACATCTCCTCATTCTGCAGGGTCCCCTCCTTCAGACAGGATCTGGAGGAGCATGTGGGAGCTCTAGTCCCTGCTGAGACCCTGGACTGGCTGAGGAAAGCCCTTCCAGGTCCTGTCCTGGTCTGCCATTAATAAGAAGAGTCTCATGATGAAGAGTTTTTTGGGATTTTTCAAATTGCTCTCTGCCTTCCCCCCACTACTCCCCTGATCTGCCGTGGAAGAGGCTCTGGCTCAGCCTCAGCCTCTGTTTTTCTGGAATCAGTCTGTCCGTGCTGGCAGCACCTCGGGGGGCAGCTCTGCCCCTGTGCCCAGGGCTCCCCCAAGGGAATCCATCAATGGCCCTGCTGGCAAAGCAGCGGGATCAGCCAGACCTGGAGTTGGTGTGGGACCAAATTCAGCTCCACCAAACTGTCCCAGGCAGGTCCCTGCCGGCCCTGGTCCCTCCCTTGACAGGGAGGGGTAGGGGACAGGCCAGGGATGATTCACTGATCCTTTCTGGGTGATGAGCAGAACTCCCCTGAGCTGCCCAGCTGCTGGATCCCCTCTGTGGTTTGTGTTTCTGTGCCAGGTTTAGGATTTTCCTACATCCAGCGCAGCGAGCCTTTGAAATGCTTGTCTAATTTAGGTAAAATGAGTTGAGAATCCCATTTCCCAAGTGGGTTGCAGGAAGGCACCTGATGTGTGCCTCTGCCTCCTGCTGGGCTGACTGCGGGGTATTCTGAGCTGTGCCGAGGAAGGGCTGCTCCCGCTGCCTGCCAGCAGCGTCCCTCCGGCCGCCGAGTATTTATGGAAAGTTTCAGGGAGCCTGCTGCCCTTTCCAAGGGGAGCTGCTGCTTTCTTGCACGCTGGGACTTGTGAGAGCTCCAGTCCTGCGGCGCTGCAGCTCCTGGCGCACCCCGGGGCCTTGCTGCCCAGCCTGCTCCCTATTCTTAGCTCCTGGGGTTATTTGCAGCCACGGTGACTCAGAAAACTAATTATTGTGTCGAGGTTTCTGAAGGGGAAAAAATAACTTGATGTATTGTGGTTTCCTTACTTCCACTTTAAATTTAATATTTTTAATACCTTTTGGCTTGTTGTAAAAGGCTGTTGGACTGTCTGGAAGGATTCTGATGGACATAATTCATTTAGAAACTTGTCTGTCCCCAGGTGAGTGTCCCTGGTGGGGTGTCCTCCTGGTGGACTGTCCCCTGGTTGACATGCCGAGTCAGAGGGTTTGTGGAAGCCTGGGAAGGATGGCAGCTCTCCCGTGCTGGTGGCCCCAGCTCTGGCAGGGACAGGGGCTCATTGTGTGCTTTCTGGGGCAGCTCAGCCCCAAGGGAGTGGCACATAGGCAGTCCCCTTGTGTCCTGAGCAGAGACACCTGGGACACACTTCCCCCACAGATGTGGGGCACCTGCAGTTGCAGGAAAGCTGGAAGAAGGGACCTGAGAGGAAGAGAAGGCATCTCCTGGTCCAAACTGGTTCTGTGGGCACCACCTCTGCCTGTTGACAAGGCACAGATTGACCTCAGTCCCCTGTCAGGGACACTATCGGGTTCCATTGGGGCTGCCAGCCCTCCATGTCCTGGTGTAAATGGGGAAAATATTTGCTGCAGGGAAAGCAGAGGCTTTCCAAATACCTGGATAAACCTCAGGGCTTGGTCTGCTGCTGGCTGCTCCAGCCAGAGAAGTGCTTGGTGGAACCTGCAGGGCTGGAGGTGGCACGTGGCCATCTCACTGCACAGGAGCTGGCCAAGGAGTTTCATCTTGTGAAGGGCTGAGCAGGTCACCTGAGCCCTCTCTGATGAGCTCATGGAGGAGCTTGGTGGCTGCCAGGGAGGGCCTGGAGCTCCTAGGCAAGGAGCTGCTCCCTTCTAGGGGGGTGGGAGATTGCAGAATCACAGGCTGGTTGGGGTACAAAGGGACCTTACAGAGCATCTCATCCCACACCCCTGCCCTAGGGAGGGACACCTTCCACTATCCCAGGGTGCTCCAAGCCCCAGCCTGGCCTTGGACACTCCATCTGCTGAACTGACTCTCCACACAGCTCAGTGCCATCCACAAACCTGCTGAGAGTTCTGGAGATCAGAGCTTCATCCTCCTGCTTTAACCTGAGTTTTTCAGAGACAGAGTAAAGTGAGGGGGAGCACTAATGCTCATTTTGGCCCTTGCCTGCATTTTGGCCTCGCTCCTGCCTTCCCACTGCAGATTTGATCCTGAAGGCTTTGCCAGGAGCCTCCTGCAGCTCCCTGGGCACCACCATGGTGCTGGTCCTGCCACTGTAGCTTACCCGTGGCACAGACTCTCTTGCACCAGGAAAGAGGTCAGGGCCACCCCACATTCCCTGGCTTGGGGAGGGTGACAGCTGGAGACCGACTTGAATTCTTTGAGGAATGATCCTTTAAAATGATCCATTTCAAGTTTTGCTCTTCAGGGAGCTTTTAATTCTCTCCCACTTCCTCCAGAGCTATGACAGCTGCCTGTGAGCCCCTGTGCCTTAACTTAAGAAGTTACACTTGTGAGAGGGGACAATCAAAAATAATAGTGTCTATTGTGTCCTCAGAAAAGACAAATTACCTCTGGGTTGGGGTGGACACCTGAGGAATCCAGGTACCTCACTTCCCTTCCTGTGATTTTCTGGGGACTGGTCCCTAAGCAGGCAGGTACTCTGTTCCTGGCGAACAGGAGAGCAAACAGCTTTCCTGCTGCCCTGTGAAAGCTTTTATCCTGATTTAACAAAGGAAAACAAAAAGCTTTTGACCATGGCAGTGGTCATTTGACTTTGAGCTTGCTGGAGGATGAGCCCCTGGCAGGGGGCTCCCAAAGCCAAGGCTGCAGAGCATGGGAAGCACTCGCTGCAGTGAGACATTCCTGGCTGACTTGTCTTAGGCAACAGGGAAAATCCCTGCCTGCCTCAGCCCCTGCCCTGTGGTGGCTGCTTGGGTGCTTTTCTGGGTGACCTTGCCCTGGCAGGCAAACTGGGGCCACTGTGTTCCCCTGTCCCTGTGTGCCAGATCTTGTCCCCAGCTCTGCTGTTGGGTGACATCCATATCTGGGCAGGGACAAAGACTGGCAGTAGCATGAGGTAAGTCAAGAGCATTGCCAGTGTCCTCCTAGTGTGGTGGGCTTGGGGCACAGCACAGGGGACCCTGCTGTCCCCAGCCCCAGGTGTCATCCTGAGGACCTCCCTGCTGACACTGGGGTCAGCTTTGGCTCAGCACTTCTGCCAGCCTGGCAGTGCCCCAGCTCAATAAGCACAGGAACCCACTCCTGGCCTCACAGTGAGCCAGGGCCATGGTGGCCTTGGGGGACTGGCCCCTGTGACCCCTGTGCCTGCCATGAGCTGCCCCAGGCCCTCCTGCCCAGGCACCTGGGGAGCAGCAAACAGCAGGAGACTCTGGGACATCACTCACCAGCAGGAACCTGGGAGCTGTGGAGTTTCTGACACAATTAGATATTTAATAAACATCTTAAATAATTAACATTGATGTCATATTAAAAGGTATTTGCTGCCTAGGCGAGTGCTCAGGCAGGTGCCAGGTTTCCAGGCTGAGCTGGCATGCTGAGGCCACCCCCACCCTCAGGGCTGGCCAGGGTGGCTTTGGCAGCCCGGTGGGATGGAGGCACGTGGGCATCCTGCGGGAGGGAGCTCCCACTGTGCCTGCAGTGGAGCACAGCAGAGTGCATCCAGAGCCCAGCCGGGCACCAGCCCCTCTGTGTGCTGTTTCCCTGACTTACATGAACGTGCTTTAATGGTCCAGGTGAGGGGGGTCTGCCTGATTTCACTGATAGCACTGGAGGGTAGCAGCATGGCCGTGGTGGTTGTGGGCTCAAAGAAACAACTCTGTCACGTCTCTGTGCCCAAACCCTCCCTGCTCAGTGCCTCCAGGAGAGGCCAGGGACCCTCTCAGGACACAGAACAGAGAGTCCTCCCTGACCTCCTGTTCTGCCTGGTGAGAGTCTCCAGAAGCCTCAGCTGAGCCATCCCAGAGTGAGTGGGAAGCTGGGCTGGAGCCCTGAGCACTGCAGTCTGCAGCGGGGCATGCTGTGCCTAATGGTCTGCCTTGTGCCTCTGGGGCACTGCAGTCCCCAGAGACCTGCTCTAGGGGACAGGTGGTGTCACACTGCTGCCCTGACCATGCCAGGGAGGGAGAGCTGGCAGTTGCAGGGCTGCTTCATGCTCCATCACTCCCTTCTGCAGCTGGAAGTGTCTGAGATCAGAGCCCCTGAGCTGCAGGGGATCCCATCCCGGGGGAAGGCTCCTTTGGTTTCTCATTTTCTGCGTTATAGAGCAGATGTTGTTCCTCCCAAGGCACCTGAGAGACTGCAAAAGGCATTTCCATCCCACAGGGGTGAATAAAAGAGTGCCTGAGCCCCAGAACTGCAGTGCCAAGGCCAGCCACCTTTGCAGAGTGCTGGAACTGGGGAAGCCACAGGGCAGCAGGGCTGAGCTAGAACTTGTCCTGCTGAAGGACTGGGGTGGCTGTGGACACATGGTGCCCTTGTACCCTGCCCATTCCCCTCTGTCTGGAGCAGATGGAGTTCCCCTGGGTGGAGCATCACTCCAGCTCCATGGCCCCTTGGTTGACAGGGTCCTGACCTGGGGCTTTGCCGTGAAATGGGGATTCACCCTTTCCATGCACCCACATCAGTGTGCCAAGCACGGCAGCACCCAGCTGTCCCTCTCACTTCATTGAGCTCCTGCTGGCATTTTATGGCCTCTTCATGCCCTTATAATGTCTCTGGACCAAGAGGCACAAAAATAACACACAAATAGTACTCTGCACCTTTTGGCTGCCCCTCCTGTGCCTTGCCATGAGCTTGGCAGACATTAACGAAATTAATGAGTGCTGACCTCCCCCCACACTGGAGGGAATCTGCTTTCCCAGGGATAAAACAGTGGTGAGCTGAGCAGAGGTGAAGCAGAGACCCACAAAGGACTGGGATGAGAGGCTGGATGTGAACAACAGTGTGTGCTGGCAGCCCAGAGAGCCAACAGCATCCTGGAATTGTCCTCACAGGGTGGGCAGCAGGTGGGGGGATTCTGCCCCTCTGCCCACTCAGGTGAGACCCCACCTGCAGAGCTGCCTCCAGCCCTGGGGACCCAACATCAGAAGGATGTGGAGCTGCTGGAGGGAGTCCAGAAGAGGCCACAAAGATGCTCCAAGGGCTGGAGCCTGACTGGGAGCTGGGGGTGCTCACCCAGAGAAGAGGACTCAGGGAGACCTTAGAGCCCCTTCCAGTGCCTAAAGAGGCTCCAAGAGATCTGGAAAGGGACTTTGGAAAAGGGACTGGAGTGCCAGGACAAGGGGGAATGGCTTCCCACTGCCAGAGGGCAGGGTTAGATGGGATATTGGGAAGGATATTCTTGGTTGTGAGGATGGGCAGGCCCTGGCACAGGTTGCCCAGAGAAGCTGTGGCTGCCCCTGGATCCCTGGCAGTGTCCAAGGCCAGGCTGGGGCTTGGAGCACCCTGGGATAGTGGAAGGTGTCCCTGCCCAGGGCAGGGGGTGGAATGAGATCAGACTTCAAGGTCCCTCCCAGTCCAAGCCAGTCTGGGATTCTGTGGCAATGCTGTCCTTGTCCTGCCTGCTGTCAGGAGCTTGGCATGTTTGCCTGACTTGGGGACAGTGTCTGCTCTATCCCTGCCAGCTCCTGGGGATGGGTCTCCTGGACACCCCACCCATGAGGATGGGCCACAGTGAGGGGCTTGATGCAGGTGGAGGCTGCAGGGCACAGGCACCCAGTGCTGCTTCAGGTACAGCACCAGCTGGGACAGCCCATGGCACAGGTCAGTGTCAGAGGCACCTTTTTGCTGTCCCCTTGAGCCCATCTGAGCTCCTGGGATGCAGGAGGGCCACACTGCCAGCCTGTTTTAATGTGCTGTTCCTTTTTCTCTCCCTTTTCCAGGCCTTTGCACTGAAGCCGAGGGAAGCACCTCACAACTGCACTGCACACTGCTCAACTCTGACTCCCCTGGCAGCCAAACCTCTCTGTCACTGACACCTCGAGGGCTCTTTCTCCTCTCCCTGCCCATCTCTCCTGTGTCTGTGCCTGGAAGCTGGTGCCCAGCAGTAGCTCTATCTCCCTGTCCATCCTGCTGGACCTCTCCCCACCATGTTTCAGCGTCTCACCAGCCTCTTCTTCAGTGACAGCAGCACACCAGAGGGCCTGGAGGAGCCCAAACCCTTTGTCGAGGAAGAGGAGGAGGAGGATGGCTGGCTCATAATTGATCTTGCAGGTGAGCAAAGCAACAGAACTGTCTTCCCACAGCCTCTGCTGCACCTTGTCTCTCCAGAGCTGGGCAAACTCTTCTATCAGCAGATGAGCTTACACCACATAGGAGCAGCTCTGCCCTTCATTTTTTCTCCCCTGGTCCCCATGCTCTGCCCGTGGTGCCAGCCCTGTGGTCACTGCAGCAGCCTCTGACCTGCTCCTCCTTTTTCCCTTTCCTCTCCCAGTGATGGTTCTCAACTTTCTGCCAGTGTGGGAGCAGCATCAGCATCTCCAGCTGGGGTTGCTGCTGCCCAGAGGCCTCCAGGAGCCTCCATGCCAGGAGGAGAGCCTGGCAGAATTTTGGGGTGATGCTGCCCACAGGGGCAGAGGGTTGGGCACTGCCATGGCCTGGGCTGAGCTGTGCCATGGACAGCGGCACTGTTCCAGGAGCAGCCTGGCTCAGCTGCTCCCTGCTGAAAGCACACCAGGAGCCTGTTCCCCTGGGAGACCCCGGTCCTGCTGGGGGCAGGGGGCTGTTCCACGGGAGGGCAGGTGGCAGTGGTGCCTGCCTGTTCCAGCTGGGGATGTGCCACCAGGGATTTGGCCATGTTTGGGTCATTTGAGAGGAGTAAATCTCAGCTGCACGGGGGTTATCTTCCCAAATTATTCCCAGTGTTCATGCCAAGCACAAGGGACGTTTGGCACCAGGTGCCTGCACCTAGAGAGCCCACAGGGCTCCCCATTCCCAGAGCCATCCTGAGCCCTGTGTAACACCAACCAGGCAGATTGAATTCCTCCTGTGCAGATCTTCTCCAGCTCTGTTCAGACCTTGGGAGTTTCCATTGTAGATTGATGACTCAGCCAGTTGCAATGATGTTTTTATGACCTTTTCCTTGCAAGTCCAGCAGCAATCAGAGACAAACCCTCCTGCCTGTGCAGGAGCTCCTGATGGCCCTGCTCTGCTTTGGCAGCCCCTGGTTGGTTGTGAGGCCCCAGCTCAGGAGACCACAGGTGTATCCTGCAGGTTTAGGAGGAGGGGTTTGTCCTCCCTCTTGCAGGCAGCAGGACTCTGTGCAGATGTTCCCTGCCTGTTCCCCATGCTTGTTTTTGTTATTCAATTTGTTCATCAGGGTTTTTTTCCCATATGCAGTGACCTGGAGAAGGAACCAGGGCAGGGACAAGACTGGGATGGGGACAGGGCCAGCCCCATGCCTGGTGGGAGCACTGGAGAGCTGCTGGAGGTGCTGGGTGGTGTAGGCATGGGCAGCTGTGGAGGCTTCCCTGTGCTCTGGGCATTCAGGGGACTGTCTAGGGAGGGTCATGGCAGTGCCATGGCAAGGGACTGTTGCACGGAGGTCCCTGGAGCTGTGGGCACGCAGCTGCCACGTGCCAGGGCCAGCTGGCTGCAGCTGCAGCAAGCCCAGGGCATGCCAGGAGGAGCCAGGAGCTTCCCCAGGCAGGGAAACGCTACGCTGTGCCCTGATCCCTGGGCGAGGCTGCAGATGGCTCACAGGGGACCAGCGCTTGACTCTGGCACAAAACATTCCCACGTTTTCCCAGTGAAGTGCCTCGGCTCTCCAGCAGTGTCTGCCTGTGAATGGCACCCTGTGCTAATTCAGCTGCACTCTGTTCCCACAGCAGTGCCTGAACAGTGGGGGACCAGATACTTTCAGCTCTATTTCTGGGGCTTGAGTTATACCAAACACTCTGAGAACCCAGCCCGGAGCCCCATCCTTGCCCTTGGAGCTGTGGTGGCCAGCAGCTGCTCCCAGCCTGGCTCCCTCCCAGCAGCAGAGAGGCAGCCTAGGGAGCCTCTGGATTCAGCCTCTGCCAGCCTGGTCATTGCCCCCTGTGTTGCAAAAGGCACCAGAATTACTCAGACCTTCCTGGAATGTTTCTGGTGCTGCTCCTGCCCCCTTGCTTAGCCTGGGCCTGCTCAGCACCCAGGGAGAGAGCAAAGAGCATTTCCCACGATGTGGCTGCATCACTGAGGTACTTGAGGATCCCAAAATATTGCTTTGTGACATTAAAGCCCACCTTGGTAAAGGGTGGGCACAGTTCCCAGGATGCTCTCCGTGCCCTGTTGTGGGAGTGCTGCTCCAGCCAAGCTCAGAGGCTGTCCCCAGGCTGACAAACTCCAGCCGGGCATGTCAACAGCTATTAATAGGCTGATATCTTCTGACCTGGAGAAAGACATTTTCGTGTTTGGAAGGCCAGCTGTGGCCTGTCCTGGACTCTGGGCTGGGGCATCAGCTGCAGGAGGAGCTGGGGATGCACCGAGCTGGGAATACCCAACCCCGTGCTCTGTTTCTCCACACAAGAACAGTTTCATCTGTGCTTCCTCCTGCTCCCTCATCCAGCTGCAGGGTCCCTGTAGATACTGCACTGCCTCTCCCCTCACCAGTTCCCTCAAATCCCCCTGATGAGTCTGGGAATGGGTGAGGGCATCCCCACATTGGGTGCATGCCCCCTGCCCTTTACAGCACCAGTAATTCCAAGCACAGGCAGCCGAGAAAAGCCCGGCCCAGGTGCTGCTGCCGGGTGGAGGTGAGGAAGGGAAGGCGTGGGAGGCTTGGGGGGTGTCAGCTTCTGGATCAGCCACTCAACATTTGGCCTCTAACAGGCTGGAGTTGAAGGCACAGTGAAACCTTTGCTGAAGATTTTTTTCCCATGATTTCTTCCAGAGAAAAGGTGTGGACTGTTTTTCTGCTGTGTGTGCTTGGTTTCCGTGTTTGCGGAATGCTGGGTGGTGTTTGTGAGCCCTGGCCCGGCCCGGCCCGGCCTGGCCCGCCTCAGGCGCCATCAGAGCGGGGAAAGCAGCGTTTATCACTGCCCGGACTTCTCTCCTTTTGAGAAGGAGAAGCCCCTTGCTGCAGTAAACCCTGCTGTGTCCCACCTCTGTGGCCCGGCCTGTCCGAGCAGAGCCGTGTGCCCGAGCGGGGCTCGGGCCGGGGCGCGGGCCCGCTGTCGCGGCCTGCCGGCGGTGGGTGTCTCTCGCACTAACGATGCCCCTTTCTCTCCCCCTCCCTCCCTCCCTCCCCACTGTACATGGTATGTGTGTGTGCTGGCGGTACCGGGCGCTCGGCGCGGCCCCGCCCGGCGCCCCCCGGTCCGCCACCGCCACCGGCTGCTTCCCCGGTTCCGGCCGGTCCCTGCTTGATGGACGAGAGTTGGTTTGTCACCCCTCCCCCCTGTTTTACTGCAGAGGAGCCCGGCCCCGACGGCGTGGGGAGCAGCCCCATGGAGGACCTGCTCATCGAGCACCCCAGCATGTCCGTCTACGTCACCAGCACCCTCGAGGTGGACGGGGAGAGCCCCGAGGACGATGCTGCAGAGTGAGTGCACTGCCAGCGTGCTGGGGGCCAGCAGCCCCAGCACCCACTGAGGGCCCCGGCGTGGACAGTGGGTCCTGCCACCCCAAACCCCCGCCTGCACCCAGGAATGTTTCACCCATGGACGTAGTGTGGCAGTGGGGGACATGGGTGTCCCCACACCCACCCCAAAGGAACACTGCAAATGTGGCAGGGTGGCACCATGCATGGCTGGCAGCCCCCATGTCCCAAACTGCTCTGCCATGGGGTCTCAGTTAGCATATTCCTGTGGCCATGGCTGCAGGACACGAGCTTGGCACTGGGCTGTGCTGGGAAATGTGCTCATTTCCCCTGCCCTTAGCAGGGTCTCCTGGGCAGGCCACCTCTGCCAAGGCCACCTCTGCCAGTGCCAGTGCCACCTGTCACTCCATCATCCCGGGGTTTTGCCAGGCAGGGCTTACACCAGGGGTTTGCATAGGCAAAACCCTATGCGATGCTAATTTTTAATGCAAATCCCTTCTCTCTTCCTGATGGACTCCTTCTGCCTTCGGAAGAACATGGCCCAAGCAAAGCAAGCCCAGTGGGACAGGGTGGCCTTTGGGCACAGTGGCCTCCTGAAGACCCGTTGGTCCCTCAGGCAGGAGGGTGCTGCAGCCCCCCTCAATCCCCCACCTGTCCCCAGACTGGCCCAGCATGGGGGTGGGTATCTCACAGCTGTGGGGAGTGGAACACTTCTTGCCTCAAATCTCAGTTCAGCAGTGAAATGAAACAGAAATGCCCCAAATAGCCCCTTTGTCCCTCCAGGCCTGTGGGCTGGAGCCCTCCACACCCATTTCTCCAAGGGCCACATCCTGGAGCTCTGCCCTCCCCCTAGGGCTCTTCTCCCCTGCCCTGCCGCCCCCAGGGAAAACCTGGAGTGTGCCCACACTCAGCCCGACTGCTGCCAGGCAAACCCTGGCTGCCACTGTGCCATGGGGTCCCTATGGGGTCCCTGCTCTCCCCCCGGCTCCCAGCCCTCCAACACCTCCGCTGCAGCCCCTCAGTGGGGCAGGGGAGGAGTAAGAATTTGGGGTGAGCTTTGCTCCAGGCCAGGAGACACTGTTCCTGGTTAGGGGACAGCATTCCTAGTTGGGGGTGGGCTATTCTTGGCTGGAGAACACCATTCCTGGTTAGGTTACACTGGTCCGACCTAGTGGACACCATTCCTGTCTAGATGACACCATTCCTTCAGGACTTGTCTCTTTCCAAAGTCTTCCTGAGGGCCAGAGCTTGATGTCCAGAGTGGGCAGAGTGTTCTGGAGCGCCTCAGTGCTGGAGGGGGGCAGAGAAGGGCTGAAGGGAACCTGAGACTAGCCGAGGCTCCAAATGGGTCACAGTGGGATGGAGACAGACCAGGCTCAAGGGACTCAGACACTGCCGAGCGGCACCGCCTGGCCCAGAAGGCGCTGCAGCGGCAGAACCGGGCCCGGCAGCGCCCGCCCCGCCGCGCCAAGCAGCTCCCGGGGGCCTTCGTCCACCAGCCCTGCCAGCGCCACTGCAACTACTGACCTCGCTCCGCCGCCCAGGGGCTCCCCCCGGCCGGCCCCGGCCCCGGGAGCGGCCCCACGGACACCGGGGACACGGCGGCGGCTTCACTCCGCACCCCGCGCCCGCACGCCTGACCCGCACTCCTCATCTTCCTCCCGTGCCCTCGCCGCGCCCCTCGCCCTCGATGCCGCCGGCATGGAGGGCCACGCTACCCCTGCCCGCTGCCTCGGCAGCCTTCACCCGGGAAACCGGAATTCCCAGTGAAATCACCTGTTCCCGAAATCACCTGTTCCCGGTGAAACCTGTTTGTCCTGATAAGCCTGTGACATCAGTGCCTTTCCTCACATCATGACTCCATGTACAGCCTGGCTGGGATGTCACAGAGACATCGAGCAGGAGTGACAAGAGCAATGAAGCCACAAGATTAGGGATTTTTAGGAAAATCTCATCAATGACACTAAATAATGCTTCCGCCCTGCAAAACCAGCAAATACTCCTCTCCCTCCTTGATTTTTTAGCTATGTTTTACCATGACAGATTATGCCCCACTGCCAGTCCTGAAGGGGCTTGTGGTTGAAAGCGCTGGTGGAATCGCCACAGCTGGCTCAGCCAGGCAGCTCCTGGTGCCTCACGGTGCTGTTTTTTTTAACAACGTTAAAGGAAATCTCAGGAATCAAAGCACCGTCCCAGCGCCGCGCCGGAGCGCTTGGCTGCCGTGCCAGGAGGGGTGGCCAGCCTGGGGTGGCATCACCGTGGCTGGTGGTCCCATCCGAGCGAGCCCTTTGGTCCTGGAGCCAGTCACCTGCCCCAGCTGCATCCCCGGGGTACGCCTGTGTCTGTGTGTGTATGGATTTCTGTGTGCCTGGACACTCACAAGAGGCACTGCTAAGCCGAGGGTTGCTGCCTGCTGGTGTTAGTCCCCAGGAGGGGAGAGGAGGCAGGATCTGCACAGCTTCCCTCAGGTGGCCAAAGCACGTCCGTGGTGGTGGTGAAGAGATGCTGAAGAGGCCGGAGGGAAGAGGCTGAAGTAAGGACAAAGATGGGTCTGGGAGCCATGCACTGGGTCAGGATGGGGCAGGTCTGAGTGAGAGGATCGCTGTAACAGGAGCTGTGACAGAGGCATCTTCTTTCCCCACTGAAAATGGCATCCTTTCCCATGAAGGGCCAAATTCACTGCTAGGCGATGCTAATTTTTAATGCAAATCCCTTCTCTCTTCCTGATGGACTCCTTCTGCCTTCGGAAGAACATGGTCCAGGCTTTTCATTGGCTCAAGCACCAGCTGAGACAGCTTCAAATCCAGCAGAAATTTGCTGATCTGCCCCCAGTTCTCTCCTTTTGGGAACTGATTTTTGTACCCTGTGCCCTGGGAAAGCACCCTGCTCATGACCACAGCCTGGATTCCCACCCTCTGAGACAAGAAATATCCCCACAACACTCCAGAAAATTCTGATTTCACCAGAGGTTCTTCCACTCACCATGTTGCATCCCTTAATATCAGCTGGGCTGAAGGAATTGTGGTGAGCCCAAACTGAGACAGCTGATAGATATTCTTTTAATGAGATTAAAGCCAAAATGAACCTTCTTAGTAGCAACAGCCCCTAGCTCTGGGCCAGGGAGCCTGGACCGTGGTAGCCAGCTGCTGCTGCTCCCCTGCAGCATTTCCCCTTCCCTCCACTGCCTCGGCTTTCCCAAAGGCACCGGGCTGGGCAGCTCTGGAGTGGTGCATCCCAAGAGGGGGAAGCCCGTGCCCTGGGCATTGCCCTGCCCTCCTCGGGCCTCACACAGCCTCTGTCCCTCGCCACGCCTGAGACCACACCGAGATCACCCTGTTGGTGAAGAGGCCGACATCTCCTGACTCCGGGGGAGTGTTTACATCCTTTGACTTCCTGGGCTTCACACTCAATGCCTTTTTTTGCCCCTGCAGCGGTGCCTGGGATGGGCTGGGAGCAGGGCAGGGACAGTGGCCCCGGCGCTGTGGCAGCAGGCAGGGGCTGAGCCCGGCTGTGATGGGTGCTGCCCTCCCATCCCCGCTGGACGCGCCGCTCCGTGGCCGCTGGGCAGCAGCCTTGGAGGAACCCCAGCACACATCAAGAAGGGCAGAAGCCAAGCACTGTCCAGCCTTCCAGCTTGGTCTTCGCTGCACATTCTCCTGCTGCCAGTCCCTCTGGAGCACTCCAGAAATCAGAGGCTGGCTGTGAGGCCACTGCGCCCTCGGCAGCTCCCAGAGGAACAGGCTGGGGGAGCAGTGGCCCCGAGGCAGATCCTGCCATGTCTCACCTGCCAGGCTCTCCTGTGCCTGCCCAGCTGCTGGAGATGGCACCCCAGGAGAAATCCCATATGGGAATCCTCCCGTGCACCCTTCTCATCTGCTGTGAGCCCGATGGCCATTCCTGGGGGACTTGTCTCAGCCTGGCACTGCCACCAGCACCCAGTGCCCATTTCAAACAGGTGATCTTCTTTGTCTGTCCTGGTTTTCAGAAGCAAATTCAAACTCTTTCTGTGCCAGTCTGAGATGTCTTTCATCACTCTGTGCCCAGCCAGCACAGGAGATGAAGCAGAACTATTACCACACTTTATACCCAGAGTATGTTTATAAAGGATTAATAAATTATTAATAATGTTTTCATGAAGAGGTTAGTCCAGACCCTGAGCTTCTTGTGGGTCATCGGAGTGCACAAACCACAGCAAATGAGCTCCTGCAAGTCCCCTCTGTTGTTTGCACTCTTGCTGTGTATTAACACCTAACACTCACCTGCCAACCCTTGCCAGGCACCTGTCACCCCCAGTGTGACCCCCCCTCCCCGTGCTCTGGTCAACCTGTGCTTTGCAGAAGACCTGCAGTGTTCTGCTCCTGCCCAGCAGCAAGACCTGACCTAGTCCCAGGCCTCCTGCCCAGTGCTGCCAGAGCAAGAAAACCCCTTTTCACTGAGGTTTTTTGTGTCCTCAAATCTTAAAACAAATGAAAGGTGCTTAAAAACGGAAAACTTCCTGTGTGTGCACCCATTTGCATGTGTAGATATTTCACAGCCCAGTGTAGGTGTTCAGTAGCTTGTTTTGGGGTTGATTTTTTAGGGGTTTGTTGGGGGTTATTTTTGCACCCAGTATTTGTGATGCACTGTGTGGTACTTCCAATGGGAAGGTTCTGGTTTGCAGGGGGCTCTTGAGCTGGTCCTGCTGGGACAGGTGGGGTGAATTTTGATTTGTTTTCTGTACTTGTGTAGGGGGAAACTACAGCATGGACTCAGGGACAAACCTATCTGCTGGGGTCTTTAAAAATGTCTTTTTCCCAGGCTTCTTTATTAGAATGTGGGATTTGGTTCTGGGATGATGCAGGGATGTGGCCTGTGGCAGCACGTGGTGGTGACAGGAGCTGCAGGGTGCTCTGACACTCCTGTGTGAAAAAGAAATTGTGGCCATTTGTAGTGGGATCATTCCTGGGCTGCAGCCCCTCTTCATTTGTTCATGACCTGAAAATTCTCCTTTACAGTCAAATGGCTTGTGAACAACCAGGTATGGATTTTCAGCACTGGGCCTCCTGGGGTTTGGGAGGTGCAGCAGGACTGTGTGTTACAGCCTGTCCCACATCACTGGGATCAGGGCACAACCAGGATGGGGAAGCCATTGAAATGATCACCTGGGGAAATGGTGATGCAGGCAACTGAAAGAAATTGTTGTATTTCTTGCAATGTAAGCATAAAAAAGGTGAGAATTCTCAGTGGAGAGGCCTGGGCAAATCCCTGTTCAGTAAGTGCCAGTTTTGCTGGGCCGTGTGTCAGTGCTGGGCCCAGACACTGAGCTGGCTCCAGCCCCAGCTCAGGTGGGCAGCAGGGCACCTGGGGCAGGCTGGGACAGTGCTCCCAGCAATGCTGGAGCTTGTGAGAGCCCCTGTGGAGGGAGGAATCTTCCCACCATGAAGCCCCCGTGGTGCAGGGATCTTCTCCAAGTGAGATTTGCCTCTGCTTGCCTGGTTCTGCCCTGGCTGCCACGTCCCAGTGCGAGGGATGAACCCTCAAAGCCTGATGGGCCAGGAGGGACCAGGAGGGACAGCCCTGCTGGAGAAGTGCCACTCTTGGGCTGCAGCAGGGCCCCAGTGCCCCCAAGGCTGTGCTTGCTGCCCGGGGCAAGCTGTGGCCATGGCACACTCAGGACCCCTCACCAGCAGCCACAACAAAGTTCTCACAGCAAATTCTGGCTCTTGCTTGGCATCGCAAGGCTGGAGGGATGCCAGGGGAGTAGGGGCAAGAGTCCTCCTCAGCTGTTGCTCTGAAACTTGCACTCACAAATGCTGCTTCTAAGAAACTCTGCTGCAAAAGCTTGGTCTGGAAGGAAAACAATTCTTTCCATGGGAGTCCATGTTTTCTTCTCATTGTGCAGAACATAAATGCATGGTTCATCCCAAAGATCACTGCTGTGGCAATCTTCTCTCTTTAGGTGTGTTCTAATCAATAATTTTTCATTTACATCATACTAGTACTTTTTCTTCTCTTCAGCCCTAATGGGGAGCAAAATACCCACTTAAATGTCTTACCAGACCAGTAAAGAAGAAAAAAGATAAAAAAATACTCCAGTGAGGTTTTAGGCTTGAGCCCCACAGCTTTGCAGTTGCCCCTCTGGATCAGTATCAATTCCATTGCCCTGCATAAAATGGAAATTAAACTTCATGTGAATTTAGTGAAAAACAAGTGAGTCCCCAAAAATCAAACATCTAATAGTTAGGAAGTAGTAAGAAGACATAAGTCACCTCAAGTCAAGAGAAATGGTTCTCAGCATATCTCAGAAGGCAGCACTGGGCCCCACTGCCCTGGGAATGGCTGCTGGCAGTCCTTGAGTCTTCCCTGAGTCTCTGGGTTAGAACAGGAGGCCATCCATGTCCAGCTGGTGCCACAGGGACTCTAGAGCCACCAGGCATTGTCAGCTGCCACCACTCCTGCTCATCTGCCTCCCCTTTGCTGCTCCTCCTTTGCTGCATGCATTCAGCAATAGCTGCTGGTGGCAGGAGGGAAGCATCAGCACCCCAGCGTCCCCCCAGCTTCTCAGACTTCCCCCCAGCCCTTCTCCATCACTGGACTGTGGTGACCTCCTCTGGCAGGGACCAGAGCCTGAGGGGGGACGTGGATGGCACTGGCAGTGCCCCTCTCCCAGGGGACTGCCACAGGCAGACCTGCCAGGGACAGGAATGGGCCTTAAAAGGGGCTGATCCCCTCAGGGCTTGTCTTCTTCAAGGTGGAGCTTCCCACCTCTCAGATCTGCTCCATTCAAAGTCAGTAACCTCTTCTTGTCCTCATGGGCTCCATCCCCATCCCATTCCCATCACTGGAGTGGCTGCCACAAGTTGCCTGAACGTGGCTGTAGGAGCTGGATGCAGCAGTGGGAAGGGCTCTGCAGGATCCCTTCTTTGCTGAGTGTCCTCAGCCCCACTGGAGATGGCACCTTCTCCTTGCTCACCTCCAGGATCTCAGAGCACTCCCCAGCTGTGGGCTCTGGACAGCTGGACAAGGTTGGGCAGGAGATCTCCCTACTCCATCAGCCTTTCTTTTTGCTTCCTGAAAGCATTTGTCATTAACACATAACCCTCCCCTTAGAGGAATGAGGATGATGAGGATGAGCAGCTCCATTTAATAGCAAAAGAGACTTTTATGTGTGATCATTTTTTCAGTTCTTTGCAGAGTGGTGACACCCAAGTGTGTCCCCTGTCACTCATTCTGAGCTGACACCTCCCAGGCTGGCGAGGGGGTTGCTTTTCCATCCCCATATTTTGTACAGGGATGCTGCCCCACACTCCAGAGCACAAAAAGAGCTGCAAAGCTTTGACTGTTGCAGCTAAACCTGAAAATCCTTCTGCCTTCCACTCTGACCCTATTTCATTGCATGGCAGGGAGGAAAATTTTATTCTCTGCAAATGAAGGAGAAAACAGCACAGTAAATTCTAAGTGTATGTTAAAAATGGGTTGCACAGGGGAGCCCAAAGCTCCTCTGCTCTTTCACATTCACCTCAAGTACCCTTGCTGGGGAGCCATGAGCAGCTGTGCCCACGTCTCACTGAATTCTTATCTTCAGCTCTGTGCTTTGGCAAGTCTGGGGATGAGGGAGCAGCACAAGGTGTAGCAGTAAACCAGTGAAATTTCCTCTCGTGTCAGAACTGCACTTGCACAGAGCCACCGAGCACTGCAATATTCTCTCTGTGTGTATCCACCCCTGGTACCTGCTTGTAAAACTCTTGCCCACACATTACCCTCCCCCATGCGGGACTGACTGACCGTACATGTGCCTTCACCCTTTTTCATGGTTTGGCATCTTTTTTTAACACAATTACAGAACTTGAAAAAAAAAATCACTGAACTGCAGTTACAAGTCCTATGCAAGAGGTGACCAGGGAGTCAGTTTTCAGTATTTCTGTGTTTCTGTGTCATTTTCAAAGTCAATGTGGGGTTTTTCAGAGAACCCCAACAGAATGAATGCCCCAAAATCTTTTTTTCTTTTTTTTTTTTTTGCTAAAAAGCATTTAGCATTTTGGATATACTAAATCTCTTAGGCAGCTTTGAAAAGCTCTAAATCCCAGTTGTTCACTGGGCCGTGTTTGGAGAGCGAGCAGGAGCAGGATGCCAGGACAGATGGCTGTTCCGTGGTTGGAAAAGGTTGCCTTAAGCCTTCCCTGCAATGTTCCTGTGCTCGGGGCAGCCCGGGCAGAGCAGCTCCCACCCCGGGCTCTGCCTTACACTGGGGGTCTGGGAGAAGAGGGAGGAACCAGCCCCACGCTGTCCACATCACCTGTGCTGTAGGACTGAGACCTCGTCTGGAACTCGAAGTAACGAAATCCGTCCTTCTTGTGTGTTCTGTGTTCAGTTGGTGTAAGCAGGGTTCGTAGGGAAGGGGTGTCTCCTCCTGTTAGGACATTGTGTAAACATTTGCTGTGTGTCGACTGCCTGGGACACATTGTGTAGTGTGCCTGTGTGTGTGTAACCTGGTTTTGGTTGTTAGGTTGTAATGCTGTCTCTTGAATGAAAAAAATATCTAATATAAAGAAAAATCACAAGAAATAAAACAATATATATTTAAAATCTATTTTGTGTGTATTCTTCTAAAGCCTGCAAAATGCTTTGGTTTTTTAAAAATGCTTTTAAAAGTCAATGGTTTTAGAGACAAATAACAGAAAAACATCCCCGTTGAAGAAAAGGACACACAGGAGAGAGGATGGCACAGGCTGAGGGGTTGGAAGGGATTTTTTCCCCCTCCTCATTACCAAACCTTACAACTTAGCAGATAATGACAGAGCTAAAGCAGATGTCGATTGCCCTGAGAAAATCCCAGATCAGCCAATCTCTGCAGCATCAGCTGTTTCTCCAAGCAGAGCGAGATGTTCTCAGCAGCCACGAGAGGCAGAGATGCCTCCAAGGTAATTAAGGGCTTGGAGACAGGAGAGGCTGAGAGCTGGGGCTGCCCAGCCTGGAGGAGGTTCAGGGAGCTCCCGCCCTGTGTGCAGATTACTGATGGGGGAACTGCAGAAAACAGAACTGGAACATCCTCAGTGCAGGGACAGGCTGAGAGGCACAAATTGAAGTAAAAAGAAATATCACTTAAACATAAGAAAATGCTTTTTCACTGCTAGGGGGGTTGGCCACAGGAGCAGGTTGAGAGGCTGAGGAGTCTTCATCCTTGGAGATACTCAAGATGAGAGGAGACATGGCCACGAGCAGCTTTGGGCAGGGGTGGGATGGGGCTTGCCCAGCCCAGTGGCTGTGCCAGCTCCTCCTGCAGAGCCAAGCCGAGCAGACACCTGTGACCCCTCAGCTGCTGGGAAAAGCACTTCAGAGAAATGTTAGATTAGAAACTGGGAAGGAAAAAAATAGCTGGGAGTGAGCTTTCGTAGCTTTGATAAACTTCTTATGGGAAAACTAAATTGGGCAGCTGGAGACAAAGCCTAGGGTTATCGGGATGGATGGAGCTCAGGAGGTGCAGTCCAACATCCTTCTCACAGTGGAGTAAATACTGAATTCAGACCACAGGGCTTTGTTCAGCCAATGCTTGAAATTCTCCAGAGAGAGAGATCCTGCCACTGCATCCCAAGGGGAATAGTTTCTGCTGCTCAGTCAGAAGCTGCTCTCTTTCCATTTGTTCTGGTGGTGTCCATTCCTGTCTCCCAGCCTACATCTCTGTAAAATCCTGGCTTCTGCAGAGCCAGTGGAGCCCATCTCCCTCAATGGCTCCTTCTGGTCAGGTGTTCCAGCCCCAGGCCATTCTGGTGGCCCTGTCTTGTGTCTCCTCTACATTATCAACATCTTGTGGTTGGGTGGGAGGTGGGAACCAGGTGATATCATTCCAGATCCCCAAATGCCAGGGGATCACTTCCCTGCCCACAGTCTGGCTCAGCTCTCCTTCAGGACTGTGAGCTGCTCCAAAGTCCAGCACTGCTCAGGGGACCAGTACAGGGGCCCTTTGCTCCTTCCAAGGCTCCTTGCCAGTGCTCAGATCTTGCAGTTCTTCTTTCCCAAGGTCCATGTCCCTGTAAATGGTGATCCTGACCTCAAGCCTCTCTGCTTCCCACAGGGTGGTATTTCCCACAAACAGGAGCACATCCCCTCTCTTCCCCTGGTTTATTGGGAGGTGGACCCTTTTCTCTGAAGACTTTCCAGTTTTGTGGCCTTTGTCCTCATTTTCTAAAGCTTCCCACCCAACCTGAGCAGCAAGAGGAGCAGCGAGGCCAAGCACGGAGCAGGGTGAGCCCCAATGGAGAGTGGGGCCCCAGCAAAGACAGGGGGGCTCCTGTACCCACATCAGCTGTGCCTGTGCAGGGACAGGAGCAGCCACACGCTGGCAGGGAGGATGGAGACCCTGAAGGGTGCCTGGAGGCTGCCTGCTGGGAAAGGCCTTGGGAGCATTGGTGACAGCAGCTGAACATGAGCCTGGTGTGGGCAAGAGGCCAATGACACCTGGCCTCTACCAGCCATGGTGTGGCAGCAGGACCAGGGCAGTGACTGTCCCCTGTGCTGGGCACTGCTGAGGCACCTCCAACCCTGGGGACAGTTTCGGGCCCCTCATGGCAAGAAAAGCATTGAGGGGCTGGAGTGTATCCAGAGAAGGGAACAGGGCTGGGAAAGGGGCTGGAGCACCAGGAGCAGCTGAGAGAGCTGCGAGGGCTCAGCCTGGAGAAAAGGAGACTGGGGAAACGTTCACTCTCCACAACTTCCTGACAGGAGGGTGGAGCTGGATGGGGTTGGGCTGTGCTCCAGGGAACAAGGATGACAGGAAATGGCCTCAAGTTGCACCAGGGGAGGTTCACGTTGGATATTGGGGAAAATTTCTTCATGGAAAAGTGCTGTCAAGTCCTGGCATGGCTGCTCAGAACAATGGTGGGGTCCCCATCCCTAGAGGGATTTTAAAAACGTGTGGATGCTGCACTTGGGGACATGGGTTAGTGGTGGCCTTGGCTGTGCTAGGGGAATGGACTTGATGGTTTTACAGGGCTTTTCCAACCCCAATGATCCTATAACATTGGCCTCACTCAGTGCCTGCCACCTTGTGCACAAATAACTAATTTCTGTGATTATAGAAGCTGGCAACTTCTATTTAATAACAATTTATATTTAATCAGCATTTTGAGATACATATTTTTAAATTTCAGCAAGAAAGAGAAGAGGTGCAGTGTGTGTGCACAGAGCTCGGGCTCCGGGCTCTCAGCAGCTCCAGCCAGCCTGACCTGCTTTCCAGGCAGCACGTGCCAGGTGCCAGGGCTGCTGCCAGGCTGCTGCCCTTGCCCCCTGCAGCTGCGCCTTGGCCCTGCCTGCCCTGCTGGGCAGCCTCTGAGGGCAGCCAGGCTGGGAGGCTGCTCTGCTCACAGGGTGCCCTTCCTCGCTTTGCAGGAGCAGCTGCATCAGTTAATTTGTTTGTGGTTAAACAAATTCCTTGCTGAAGCTACATATAAGGAGCTTGCAGGCCCAGAGCTCTAAATAATCCCTCCAATCCTCCTGTTTGGAATGATGCTGCTGTTGTTGCTAATAATAATCCAATGCAATTTATAGGACAATAACATTTATTTGGAGCATGAATGGAACATTATACAAACCCTTAAATTTATTTTTTGTTTCACTGGTCCATTTCTACAACAAATACATCAGGTCTACTATATAATAAAATTATTTACATTTCCAAACAACATGGGATTTGTTTATAAACCCCTTGACTGCTATTCACATACAGTACTTAAACAACAGCACATTACATTATTTTAATACCTAAAAATGACAACCCTGTATTCTAAATTGTTTATGAAAAGTGGAAACAAATAAATTTACAATTGTCTTCCCCTCCCCTTCCATTTCATACAAACACATTACCCTAATGTGCTAACCCTGACTTCACTTTGCAAATCCAGGGGGTTTTAGAAGAACCCAGTTTTTATATCTATTTATCTGTTTTTTAGAAAAAAAAAATCATTTATTGGGAACAGTATAATATTAAAATTACTTACTGTACAGAATTTTATTAAAAAAAGAAAAATCACAGCTCAAAATTGCTATTGGTAAATTCACACTCATTTACAAGTCTCATGTTTCCATGCAGTAATTTACTTGGATTTTCTTCTTTTTGACTGCATTGCACTGGCACTCGTTTCTGAAATCAAGAGAAGAAAACAAGCATGGATACGCAGTCGGTAAGCCATTCCCCAGAGGGGCAGATTGCCCTGCCATTTCTCCAACCTCGCAGCAGAGTGTGTGCTCTGGAGAGCAGGATTTCCCCACACAGGACAGACTCCTGAGCACTGAGGCACCCCGGGCCCGACACGCACGAGGTGCAAAGGGCACAGGGCAGCCTTGGGAAGAAGAGCCACATTTTGTAACCGTCCCCTAGTGCCACAGGGGAGCTGTGTCCCAGGAGGAGATGGTGCTACACAACCACTCTGCCCATGCCAGTCACACCCCAGCTGTCTGAGCTCTCAGAAAGTCATTCAAAACAAGTCTCTGCAGGGTACACTGAGTCACAGGAACACAGCTGATGCAAAAAGACACAGATGTTAACACCTGCAGGGCCATGGTGACAGCAGATGACATGTCCAGTGCACTTACCAAGGCACTAAGTTTCCATTTCAAAACAAAAAAGAGTAAGGACCAAAGGCATTTGCATCTTTAGATCTTTTTAAAAATGTGATTTTAAATGTTGGCAATGTCTCTTTGGCTCTTCATAATGTTTTCCAAAAACTATTGTAGCTGTGTGTATTTTAAGAGTCAAAAGGGAAAAAAATTTCCAAGCCCATCTAAAATTAGAATAGCAGCAGTACAACTCCACAGCTGTTACAATGTGGAATTAGAAAAAACAATCAACATTTCAAAATTTAACAAACTCAAAGGTACAGTAAATGCTAAAAGCAGCCCTTGCTGGAAAAGCACTCCAAAAAGGAAAAACACCAGTACAGTACCAGTTTTCAGAAGTGAAACATCTCCACAGGCTGGACTCCAGCCTGGAGCTCTCCAAGCACCAGGACTGACTCTGAAGTAGCTTCAGCAGCAGCTGCTGCCACCCCTGTTGCTGCCCAAGGCTCCGTGTTTGAGAGGGGGAGTGGGCCAGCAGCACCCAGCCCTTGTCTCAGTCCCCTGGGAGCATGAGCAGCACCTCCCAAACCCTGCACCTGGAGTGTGCTGGACACAGCTGGACAGGGCTGACCCTCCCTGTGTGCTCTCCTCTTCCTCACAGTGACTCCTCTGCCCCCTCCTTCCCCAGGCTTAGCAACCAAGTTCCTACTCCAGCTGGTCTCTCCCTGCTGATTTATTTTTCCTAATGATGACTTTAAACAGCCTCTATCTCAAGAGATAACTCCTCTCAGCCCCATATTCCTTTTACCATGGATTAGGGGGTTTCTCAGGACACAGATAACATGAGGACAGGAGCAACCAAACCAGAATAATTAAGCTCTGATTCCCTAACAAAAATACACAACAGAGCAGACACAGGTGACAAACCAGGTGACACACCTGTGGCCACCCCACTAAGGTGCAGCGTGTCCAGAGCAGCTGGTTTGGCTCATTCTCCACAGCTCAGGAGCAGCTGTGTGCTCACAGTAAGGCAGCACA